TTCCCATTATCTTACGGACAGCAAGCTAAGCAGAAGTTTAAAAAAATTAAATAAAAATTTTAAAAAATAATAATTTTGCAATTTAAAAACTAAATAAAATTTATGAATATTATGGCACTACTCATTTGAAATTTATAAGACTATGCAAGCAATACATGAACTTGGAAATTTATCACATACCAAGAGTCAAATAATTCAATGCAATATAATTTTCATTAATATGGACGGTAAAACGAAACTCAGGGAATTGGTTTTTCAATTAATTTAACACATACATCGTTGATGGATAAACCAATGGGAGAATGTTAATCATCCTGATAGGTTTCCAAGCATCAAAAGAATGCTCATTTTTCAGAAATCTATCGTGAATTTTGAGAAAGACAGGAACATACAATTATAAGAAAAAATTAAAGTATTCCCACAATTTCATATTTTCATGATTAGCAACATAAATATGGAAATTTGGATAATATTATGCGCAAGCCGCTTTTACCTCCAATTCAAGCTCGTACTCATTGATCTACGAGGGTTACTATTTATATTTCTGGCCTAATAATGAAAAAACAAATATGTAGGATCGAAATTGGTTTTATTGTTTTTCAAAATATTCTCCATGATTATCAATACTTTTTTGCATGCGTTTGAACCAATTTTCAAAGCACTTTTTCCAGTCCGATTGAGGTAACTCCAAAACATGCGTTTTGAATGCATCAACCGCTTCTTCGGGGGTCGAAAATCGTTGCCCACGCAATTTATTTTTGATGTGTGGGAATAAGAAGAAGTCATTGGGTGCCAAATCAGGGAATTTTTCCAATTCAATCCAATCAGGGTATACCAATTTTTTACAGTGCTGTAGTATGGCGCTTTATCGCTGAATAAAGAATTAAGTTCATCGAAGCACACTTGTCTTAACAATACACGTCGAAAGTTATGAAAAATAATGGCACGAAAATGTTCACGATTCAATTCCATTTTTTGAAAGTGAAGAACTTTTCAATTTACTGTCAACAACACAAATGAAGCTATAATGGTAAATCGTCTTCTGAATTTAAGTTTAAAAATATCAAACTTTCGATTAAAATCGTCTGCGGTCGCCTAGCAACACTTACTGTTGCCAAGGCCAGAAATATAAGTAGCAACCCTCGTAATTAGGCTTTATACCGCCGTTGAGGACAGAGCCCTAGTCTATTATAATCATAGCTTCAACCACAGAGCTATTGGGACTCATTTGTTTTTAAAATCAAACTCTTCCATAATTAAAGAATTATTATTTTTTTGTGTGCATCCACTCCTTAGACAAATATATGCATAAAACGTCACTGTGATTGATTAATTTACACATTAGGTTCTATATAATCTCTTTACTAATAAAATAAACAGTAATTCTATAATCTATTTTTAAATGTGATTCATTAATAAATGAACTTTTCCATCAGTTGGTTATTTAGACAGAGTACGAAAATGGTTTCGGAAATTACGATCGAAATTTTGTCGAAAAATCAAGCATCATTTGGGAAGAAAAACATGATTTACATGATAGTTCTTTATGAAAGATAAAATGGAAATGTAATTAAATTTACAAAGTAAGTTTTTTAATAGGTTTTGGAAATAATTTCAATATTTTTAAAAAGGAATTTACATTTAATTTTGAAAAGATATTTCTTTCAGTGTTCTTTACAAGAATTTTTTTTTGTAAAAAAGGAAAAAACTGCCATCAATTAATGTTAAAACAAATTTATTTCAGAATTTTCAGACAGGAGTTTTTAACAAAATCCTAATTAATGCGATACATTTTTCTTTTCTCTTTTTTTCAGAGTATAGCTACAAGTTTCATGCACTGAAAACTATTTTTTGTACTTATTATATGGAATTTTAACTGAAGAGCTTTTAATGCATTTTTTAATAAGTTCTAAAAGCTATTTTTTTTCAAATTTTGATTAATATAATGTTGAAGAACAAAAATACTTTTTAGTTTAAAGTCCAAGTTTATGTAAAATTGCATTTTAATTAATTTTATTACTTCACAGTAAGGCTTAATTTTTTTCATTGAATTTCAAAATAACTATGATTTTTTTTTTCTAGTCAATGTATTCTTAATCATGATTATTCAAAAAAGAGCAGTATTTAATAACTAATATTAAATATTACAGAAATATTTATTTGAGTTTTAGTTGGAATAGTTCAATGAGCATTATAGCATTGATGTCTGATATAAATTTTGCAAAATATATATTACTGTAGCATATGTTTTTAACATATTTTTTCTTACAACGCTCCATAAGAATGATTTTAAGAAATTAATTATAATTTTATTTTGCTTCGAATAAAAAGTAAAATGTTTTCCCTAAGGATTTGATAATTCAATCTGCTAAAAAAATCAAAGTGAAAACTAATAACTATCATGCAAATAGAAATTTAGAGGATCTTTTATTCAAAACTTAATATTTTTTTTAATTAAATTTAAATTTGCTATATAATTTTTTGGATTTACATCACTTCGTTAAATTGTATTTTTAACTGGGTTATTCAATAGTAAAAATAAAATAAATAAATAAAAGGAATGAATAAATCATAAAATCAATAAAAAGTTTAAAATTTTCATATAAATATTTAAGACAACCAACAATTTAAAGTCTTTGATGGACAAGAAAATTCTGGTAAGATTACCATATTGTATGATAATAATATTGCCGACCAGTCTGTGTAGGGGGCAGGGAACTGTCCTTGCATCAGAAAGGTTCTGGGTTCGAATCCCGGGCAAGGCATGGATGTTTCTTTCCCTCTATCTTTGTTATAAGTCCTTTCTCCTTTGTGTGTGAATGTGACCCGCCCTATAAACGGGTTGTGGTAGTGTGACGTGGTCGACGCTGTTCCACCGCCGTGGCTTCGCCACAGGTGCCCACTGGGTAACGAAAAGAAAATTAGCAGTTCTGGCACTTTCTGTGGCCAATGGACAATAGCTCCAAGTGCCCGCCATTAAAAAAAAATGATAATAATATTTCTGGCAAAATAAAATATCATAAATCTGCTAAGTAAAGCGAATATATACCGTATTTATATCATTCATTTCGCAATGCTTTGATGGAAATTCTGGTTTTTAAAATTATAGCTTCTTATTACCTAACATTCAGTAAAAAAATACAGAAATGAAAAGTTAATTTTACCTAGTAAATGGTTTTAAGGCCACGCTCTAAGCTTTTATGATAAAATTAAAATATGAATAACCGCATTTACCAAAATTTCAAGCATATTGTAAAATCATATTTTATTTTTGATTTTGTCAAAGTACGTCGTTCATAATTACCGAACTTTTTGGTGTAGTCCTAGAGCCAGAAATACGTAAAGTTTTACCTTATTCTGGAACTTTTAACCATACTTTTATTCTCAAGGTATAGATTAACTAACTGTTTTAAAAATAAGCCTACGGTTTTTTTAAATGAGTGAATTTTATACAAAACGAAGTTAAATATTAAAAAAAGGGTGTGGTTTATTAACCCTGAAGCCTTATTCTACTTACCTTAACCTTATTCTACCTACCTTAACTTTATTCTACCTACGTACGTCACAGTACGTAGGTAGAATCTTTTATATTTAAACATATTTTATTATGCTTTCGTATGGCCGGCTTTCTATGCTAGTCAGTTATAACTAGTTAATAAAAGTTGTTATAATTAGTTGCTCTTATGCTTTTTAATCAGCTTACTATAGCACTAGTTATATTGACACATTTATGGGGTACATTACTGTGTTTATAATCATAATGAGCCATGCAAAGGGAAATGTGATATTATTGCACTGTAAACAATTCTGGATCAAATTACGGAATGAAGAACCGGAGTTTTGGGAGCATAATCCACAAAATCTGTTTTTAGAGTAAAGTATGACACCATAATTTGTACAGTAATATTTATTTAATTTGATTAATTCGGTTATTTTACGGTAATTAATATTGTCAAAATTGCGGTATAAGATTTTTTATTTCGGAATATGTTGCTGTAAAAAGTAATTTTTACTGTAATTTCGTCTGGAATTTTTTTACAATGAGAAGGTTGGATTAAACGCAATAAATGTTAAAATCGATTAGATAAAGAATAAACTGATTGAGATGAAAATATTTAAATATCACAGCAATTTTTGAATATAATCAATATGCCAGATCTCTTGTTGAGATACTACTAAATGAGAAAAAGGAGAATATTTATTTTCTTATCATAAAATTGATTAAAAATTTCTTAATGATCATAAAACTTGTTCTAAGTGAGCCTCAATTAGTATTTTTTGTTAATTAAATAAACATTTATCCGTGGCCATTTGTTATCGTAATAGATCTACACTGTAAAATCTTCCGGATCAAATTATGGTAAAAAGCACCGGCATTTTTGATCGTAAAATCCATTTAGCATTATGGAATCTATTTACAAATATAAAATCTGTTACATAACAAGAAAATCTGATATATCGTAACTTGCACAGTAATAATTAGGGAAAATCACTCTAATTAAATAAATATTATTGAAAAAAATTGCAGTGCAATATTTTACAGTAAAAATGGATTTCACTGTAAAACGGATTATATGGATGATGCACCCTAATTACCGTTACTTTATCCGTAATTTTATCTGGAAGTTTTCGAATTTTCATTTGAAATTTAAGCAGTGCAACTGAAAACCTAGAATTTTCAAAAGTGCATTATCAGTTTTATTTTCTTTTTGAGCATGTTTTTGTAAGTTAGTTAGCCAAAATTGTATAAAAATGCACTATTGACATTTCCCTTGCATCACTTCCGCGTGTAAAAACTGTGACTGACCACCGCCCATTCTTCCATACTTTTAGAGATGCATATTTCTAGTTTATGAGACACATTTTCTACACATATTCATACAATACATCAAAGTATGAAAGCCCTTTCTTTTAAAGAGTAAGAATAAGTTTAAAACTTAAAATTACTTTTGGACACAAAATTATAATATTACTTCAAAATGAATAAAATTATTACTTACCTCCTGAAAGTGTCAGTGTTGCAAATTGATACTCTGCTTCAGTTGTACCGGCGTCATTATTGGCTGTTATCAACAACAAGTAATGATTCGCTGGGGTCAAGTCGGTAACTGTCACTGTTCTTTGTTCGGGTAACACATTGTTCGACAAGAGTATCCACTCTGGCTGATTCACTGGCTTGTACTGAATGACAAAGAAATTGATTGCGCATCCTCCACTATTGAAGCTTGTTAAATGGATCATGATGAATGTTGAGTTGATTGTCAGGAGGGCATCCCGCTTTGGTGCTACTGGAACTGAAAGAAAGGAGAATTTTTATCCAAAGAAGTACCCCAGCTCTAATTACAAAAAATCGCGATATTTGTAATTTACCAATATTTAGTGCATGTTATGTGATATAAATAAATCGGAATTCACTTCATATATAATAGTCTCAAGTTTAATTACTGATTCAAATAATTAATGATATCGAATGTAAAAATAGTGGAATGTGCATGTTTTCGAAATACTCACCTGATTTTAGCCATTTGATGAGAATTTTTTTAAAAATACTCTAACCACAGCTTTAAATTAAAAAAAGAGAGACATTTATAAATATAATAATTATAAATTGATATTGACTCCATAAATGATTTCAATTAAGGATTTAAATATTTACTGATATAGAATGTTAAAACTATGAAATCTTCATTTTTTGAGTTATTCACCATATTTTATTTATAGTTCGTATTTTAAAACATTCATTGTAGTATTTTAGTCAAAATTCTAGCTTCAAGATTGAGTACTTATAGAAAAAACTGATTGTAAAAACTGAATTTTAGAAAGTAAAAACAGACTGTTATGTAATTTTGAAAATGCAATTTACTTAAAAAAGTAAAATGTAAATTATATATAAAAATTTGAAAAGCAAATTATTTGGATATATCGTTCCCCATCCAGTTTTTATACAATTTTGCAAAATAAATATTCAACAGTTAATATAATAAGTCACAAAAGTCAATATATTGAAATTAAATAAATAAATATTAAATGAAAAAATAGATAAGTGTATGAAAAAATAGATAAGAAAATTGTAATACGGCTGGCAATCGATGCATTCTAGTTAATTGCAAAGTTTTATATATTTATTTGGATTATTGATCATAAAATTTAAACTCTCCATGCTCTGAGTCGCATTGTGAAATTGTATTGAAATTTTCCAGGTGCACACTGTATTTTCCATTCATTGACATGGAAAAAATGTCCTTTCTTTTCTTTTTTAACTGTAGGAAAACATTCATTTAAAAGTTTGGAAAAAGTCGGAACAAACGCTCTTAGGGTTAAATGCAGCTTGCTCCAAACCATATTTCTCTTAATTTATGTTTTTCTAACTAGAATAATTTTCAATTTATTTATTTCAAACTTTGACCAAATGATCACAATGTAGTTTTCTTTGTACGTACAGACTGGGTTGACTAGTTTTGAGTAATCCTAGAAAATGTTTTATTTCTTTTCAAAACACTATCATTTTTTTAAGAAAAAAATAAAAAATCCTACGAGCAACGGAAACTACATTCAAGTAATTAAAAAGAAACGGAATCAAATTTGGATGATTTGTTTTCATCATATGAGCACAGCAAGTTATGGATAATTTAAAAAAAGTAGTAGTAAACATTTTATTGTAAAAGTTCCATTTTTTATTTTTTTATTTGCGCTATGATAAAAATAAAGGTCAAAATATGTACAAAAAGTTTTAAAAAAAATGTGAAGTTGTTTCCGATTGCTGCAAAATTAATAAAAAATTCTTCGTTTTTTACGGATTTCTACTTTTTTTTACCCTTAAACAAGACCATTAGACATGAACATATATATTTCAATTCTCCGAAAACAATATTTTGTCACATACCCGTTCCTTCAGTTTGAGCGGACACATATTCACTTCGTGGTCCTCTTCCAGCAACATTGAAAGCTATTAAATAAAACTGATATTGCATTCCGCATTGAAGACCATAGAACACATAATTATTTCGTTCTTCGGAAAGCTGCACTTCTTCCCAATCTTGAGAATCAGACTTTTGATACAGGATGTAACCTGCAAGAAAAAATATAACGCTTAATATTTAGTTCTTTTAACATCTTAAAAATTTATATTTAGAAAAATATATATTTGTTATAGAATTTTTTTCGTAATTTAATTTAATTTACACGACATAAAACAAAACTCGTAAATCACTTTGTATTACATATTGATTAGTTTGTTTATAAATAAAACCAATTTATGATAAAAGTAAGTAAAATACAATTTCGAAACCAATAGTAATTTGGTGACTATTTATTTGATAATAAAAACTGGACTACTCTAGATTTGTTTGCTAGGAGTTTTTGTAGCACATACTAAGTAACGCATTATAATTTAGAATTTTTGGATTGATTTTTTTTCTTTTTCTGCAAAATGCATTAATGCAAAATGCATTAATTATATCAAAGAAATAATTTAATTTATTTTGGGAGGCATAGAAAGAAACTATGGTAAAATCCCAGTACTGTAAGTGTTTCCGGTAAGAAAAAGAAGATAAACTGTGACTAATAAAATCCAAATATACGGTATTTCAACTATTCATTCGGTAATTTTTCCGTTCATATGATAACGGCTTACGGCAAATTCAGTTTTATTAAAATTATAATTTTCATTGGCAGTAATAAAAATGGAAAGCTGGAAAGTAAATTTAACCGAATAAATGGTTTTTATGCCATGCTAAGCTATCATGATAAAATTAGCATGATAACTTATCACGAAAAAATTACCAAATTTTACTACAATTACCACTTTTTATTACATATTACAAAACTGCATTTCATTGTTAGTTTTACCAAAATCATTACCTAAGTACTTCGGTCACAATAACCAAGATTTTAGTTGTTCATTACGTGTTTTAGTTGAGTATAAATATCTGGTTGCCTTGTGTGCTCACGTGTCCAGAATGTGCAAAGGAATGTGCAACATGATGTGCTCATCAATGAAGAACAGAAAAGATATTACATTTGAGTGTGTAGATATTTTAAAAATAACAAAAACACACTCTTTTGACTAATCAACAATTGCTTATGCAAAGTTTCGCATTAGTTTGAAATACATTCCATACCCAAGTTTCGAGCAAGTTGATGGTGAGCCAGTTAGAAATGACTAAATTGCTGACAGCAATACGTAATACTGTAGAAGATCAAGAAATTAAAAAACAATGGCTTGCATAACAACAAAATTGAAATAACACTTTCATTACAAAATATTACCTCATTAATAAAAAAGTACTGAAGGTTTTAGGCAATGTTAGAAATTGAATGAAGTTGAAAATAAACAAACGTTTGGAATAAAATATGGCAAAATAGCATTTTTTTTGTAAATCAAAAGTTTTATTCTTATTTCTTTTAGTAAAATGAGTTACACACGGGAAGTAATAATAAAATGAATTAAAAAAAACGTTTTAAATAAAATATGAAGAAAAAACTTTTACTCAGTTAAAATAAATGTTAGTATCAGTAAACAAATGCAAATATGTAATATAAAAAATATTATAAATAAATAAATAAATAAATAAAAAATCTCCTATTTTAAGTTAAGGTAAAACTTTTTTCCGTTAAATATCCTAATTTCAACAATAGTTTAATTTTTTTTATATAATTTTAAATTATTTAGTTATATTTGGGGAACATAAATTTAATTCGTTAATATTCATCAATAATAAATTAATTTAATTCGTAAAATATTCGCTTAATGTTAATATTGAAGCCAATTTAATGCTTCCTCCTATTCTTATTTAAAACTTGTAGTTCTTTAACTAAATTAAAACTCGATAAAGAAATGAAAAAAAAAGTTCAATTATACAAAATAAATTTTTTCGTTAATAATTAATTAATTTAATTCGTAAAATATTCGTTTAATGTTAATATTGAAACTAATTTAATATTCATATTTAAAACTCGTAGTTCCTTAAACTAAATTAAAACTCGATAAAAAAAATGAAAAAAAAAGTTAAATGATAAAAAAAAATATACTTTTTTAATTTAACTTTTTTTATAAATTTTTTTTATGTAGATTAATCTATTAAAACTTTCACTGATGCACAAAAATTTTCGAAGTTTACTAAAGGATTTGTCCAAAACCTATCTTATCTTAATCAATTTTCATACGACAAAAACTTCTGCAGTCTCTTTAAATATCAACAGTTAATACTATAAATTGTTCAGAAAAAACTCTGCAAAAACAAACAATTACTTCTCAAAAGGGATTATGAAAAATACGCTCTGCATTAAGTTATTTTCTTTATATTTTTTTGTAGAACTCTTTCAAAATCTTCTTAGACAACTTATGTGCAAATCTTTTCAAGCAATTTTTTTCTATCTCATCCGGATTTTTTTAACGGTTTTGAAGGAAGAATAGGAGGAAAAAAAAGATTTGTTCGAAATCCTTTAATAGTTTCAGAATTATTTTTTTCTCTTCTAGTGCTGTAGAATAGAATTCTCTTCTACGTAGAATTCGAACAGAATAGAATGTGTGCGGAGAAGAGAACTCGCATATGTTCCTCTTGCAGCATTATCGGTCTACGGATGCAGTAAATTGGATTTTTCCTCGCGCTTAAGTGACTTCAGTTCCAGATTTCACATTATTTATATTTTCTCTCTCGTTTTACGTACATTTTACGAACGTTTTATTTATTTATTTATCCCAGTGCTCACCAAACTCCAGTTTATGTTTTCACCCCGTTTAAACAGCACAGCCGTTGTTATAAATAACGCTTTCACGGTTCTTTGAGCAAATTGTTTGCGTCTTTTAAATTGCGTTGCCAAGAGTAAAAAAGTAGATTTCTTCTTTCCACTTCAAACAATGAGACCTGTTTTCCTGTTTTTCCTCTCTTTTCCCGTACGACATATTTTTCTTTACGTGCAGATGATTCGGGCATTTCGCCTGAGGTACCTGTGGTAGACGTGAAACTGAAAAAAAACTTGTTTTAAACAAAATATTTAAAAATGAATACGCATTTTTTTCTTCTTGCTGTTGAATTTCTTGACATTTAAAGTATTCTGTTGTATTCTATGATGTACAAAGCAGAGAGGTTTTCAAACAACTCAGATATGAAATCATGCATCAGTAAAAATTTCAGGTTTAATCACTAGAGCAATATAAATCCTCCCAATTTCTTTAAAAATATGTGATGTAAGAATTTAATAAAATAAAGGTTGTGTAAATGGAAAGAACATAATCTTATAAAGAACTATAGACTATAATTTAGAATTACATTGAAAGCAAAAAAAATCAGTGGTTATGACAATTGAAGAGGAAAAAACTATGAAACTATAAATATGAACAAATACAATCTTGGTTCATAGTTTTATGGTTCACGCGGAGAAAAAAATTCTGTTAGGTGATGATATTTCTAGTAAAAAAATTGTGCCTAATAAAACCAAAATATATGGTATTTAAATCATTCATTTTATAATTTTTCCATTCATGTAATAAAGATTTACAAGAGATTCTGGTTTTCAAAATAGCGCTTATCACCATATATTTAGTAAAAATTTCAAGGATGAAAAGAAAATTTTATCGAAAAAACTATTTTTATGCCGTGACCTAAGTTATATAATGATAAAATTATCAAATATCGTCACATTTACCAAACTTTATAGCATAATTTAAAATTTTATCGTTTATTTTATCATAATTAATCTAAATTTTCTCTTTAAATTTACTAAAATCTGGGCTGGGCGGCTAGGTTTGTCGTCGGCCTTCTGAGTCCAAGTCAGCGGGTTCGATCCCCGACCCAGACACCGGATTTTTGGGATGCAGAAAATCTTCAGCGGCCATGTCGTATGATTATGTGGCATGTAAAGGATTCCAGGAGTGCCGTATTGGCTCTTGGCATTTCCGGCAAAACTAAATTCTTTATGCACTTTAGCATCCAAATAGATTCTCGGTGCTGCCATCTAGTGTGGCAGAAATTAGAGGTCCAAATTAACATGGCCGACGGTATCTCACCCATTGTGGTGGTCCTGAAAGAGTGGATACCACTTCTGGAGAACGCATTAGGTTCGCTCATCGGGAGATTGATTGTGCAAATCGCAGAAAATAAATAAATAGAAAAAAAAACTAAAATCATTGCCAAAGTGCTTCGGAAAAAATTACTGAGTCTTTTAATGTTTATCTCGAGCTTAAAGCATCGTAATTTTTACCATAGTTTTTTTCTTAGCTTAAAATAGCTTAATATTAAATAGAATGAAATAATGACGAATAACAGTTGCAAAAACATATGAATCCATAAGAATGAACCAATATATTTAAATAATAGGTTCATAGTTAACTTTTACAATTCTATAGATTTCATTTTCGTACATTTCTTAATGTGAAAAATTCTTTTATTTTTTTTTATTTCTACTATATTCACGTTTAAAATTATGTTAAGAAAAAATATTATTATCATCATTACGTATTTCTTAGAGTTATGCGTTTAAATGTATTGCTAAGTAAAGAAACTTCATAAAATTGAACAAGGTTTTGATTATTTTGAAGAAGTTCTAATTTTAAAGGTGAACATGTTGCTCTTTTCTGTCGTTTTAGTAATACTGCATAGTTTGCTCTTTTTTGTATGTTTAAACGCTTAAACTATGTTACAAAGATGGCTATTTTCTCAGTTTGCATTTAAAAAAATTAATAAAAGTAGAGTATCACCGTCGTTTCTTGAAAGCGTGTTATAGAACAAGTTGTAATTATATTAATAAAAAAAGGAATATTTAAAAATTAAAAAAAAAAACTTTAGCAAATGGGAATTTAAAAGGGATTTCGTTGCAGAATATTGTCATAAATTTAACACTACAATCATTAACAGAATTCGTTTCAGATTAACTACATCAGTCAAGAGTTAAAAAAGAGAATGTAAAGAAAAATCCCACACAATTAAAGAAAAAAATCCTAAAATATTGCAAAATACCCTAAAATTGACAAAATAATTTGAAAATGTTATAAAAACTTTGGACATGATGATTTGTGTAACCAAGAAAGCTTACATGCAAACAAATGGAGTATCAAATTTTGCTCTAATTAAAAGCCAGACACTTAATAAATTTTAGAAGCACCTAATCTATAATAATAATTAAAAATTAAATAAACAAAGTAGACGTGGTCATTTCTTGAAAAGCTGTTTTCTATTTAAATTTCTGTTTTGAACTCACATTGCTTGCAAATAAATGCAAAATTTTTTTTTAAAAAAAAAGTAAACTTTATGTTAAGTAACAGAATTATAAAACTTCAATGAGTGAGAATCTTAAAAGGATTTCGTCGGAAGACTGTCACTCAATATTTTTCAACACCATTACAGTTAACAAAATTTTAAAATCTCTTTCACTTTCGAGCCAAAAGTAGTTACCTCACCATCTAGATTTCGCTGTGAGCATTTTTGATCGACTTCTTAATGCTATTAACGGCAAAGATAGCACTTCTCTTTGAAGTTTTGACTCATTACTTTAGTCAAAGAAAAGTCTACACACTGTGGAAAGTTCTTTTTCTAGTAGTTATTTAATGGAGACTTTCATTTAAAATGACACAAATGGAACGCTGTTTGCTTAAAAAAAGTTGTTTGTTTGTAGGAAACGGTGATTCAAGGAAATAACTCATATTAGTAGATATAAACTAATGTTTTGAAAGTATTTAAATTAAACAAATGTATGTTTATAGTCATATAGAATATGTTGCAAAGCTAACGCTCATTTTAGGTAGAATGTCAGAATCATATATTCTTTGTTTAATTTGAATTTACTGTTAGATAAAATTCAAGTCATGTTTCATGCGATTAAGCTTAGAGGATTCGAATGGAATAAACTTTATTGTCAAATAAATAAATTTATTCGAAATGACTAGCGTTTATTATTATTACTAGTTATTAATCAAACCTTCTAGATATGCAATTCTCCATAAATTGTATATATTAAAGTGGTGTAATTTTCTATGAATAACGCTCTTTATAATAAATTAATTAAGTTCAAATTAAAAGAAAGGCTATCCTTTTTATTACGGAGAAACACAGCAAAATAAATATATAAATGATTTAAAAAAATAAAAATCTAATTGAAATTGATAAGAAAACTTGTTTTTAAAGGAAAGAAATATTCATATAAAGACTATAATATTTCGTAATTATTTAACCGGTGTTGAACGGCCGGCACAATTCTGAGTTTACAACTAACAATGTTAAACTCCAGAGTCTTGTAATTTTGAACCCAATCATAAGCTCTTGTAGTTTTGAACTTCTACTCCAATCATTTCATTTTATATCCGTCGTTGAACAGTCGACCCAATTTTTAGGTTTAAGACTGCTGATGTTTATCCCCGTAGCCTTGTAATTTTGAACCCAATTCAGAGGACAAGGGAACTCCTGGATCAGTACTCCCAGAGGTATTGATTTATAATGGGAACATGGAGGACTTTGTGACTCGACAAATTTAACGCTCATCAGCCACCATTTACTACCCGGGGAATCTTTGGCCGGTGGGGATCGAATCCACGAATCCTTGGACATGGGCGCAGGGCCCTACCAACCAGGCTATCCCGGCCTACTCCAAGTATTGTAAAATTTGGAGGTCTTTTTGAAAGAACTAAGCAGCATTTTCGTTACAAGGAGAGCAATATGGGGAAAACCTCATGCTGCTCGCCCGTAAGCAAGGTGTTTCTAACCCATGATCCGTCTACCACTGTGGATAATTCAGTCAGTACAGTAATTTAGTCAGTACAGAATTCGTATCAACCAGCCATCAATAGGATTTAAATCTGGGTCACTTCATTCGGAGACGAACGCTCTATCCCTATAGCCGTCATAGCACTAATGATAAAATGATAATAATAGTAGCTTACCAGTTGCCTATATTTTAATAGAACTTCTGATACCTAGTACTGCTTGTTTACTATTTGAAACTCCATTCCAAGCTATTCAAAAAACTTTAAATTAAAATTCCCTTGAAAAGATTTTGAAATTTTTTTCTAGTTTCTTAACATAAAATCTGTTAAAATAGTGTGATAAGTTTTGAAATTTGCAAGGAAATGTAAATTTATAAAGTTATAATAATAATATTCGAAACAATATTTTTATCAACTCCGTCTCTATGATGAAATAAATATTTCATCAGTTACATCGAGTTCTTGTCTCCAAAAATTTGAAATATTGATACAGAATCTTATTTACAAGTGTTTACTAGGATCTGAAATTAAAAAAAAAGCTGCACTGTGTCCATTAAAATGTATAAAGTAGTATAAATATCAAGAATGTACGAGCGCATTCATTTATTTCAATTCTGAGAATTAAATGAAATTAAATGATCATGTTATGTTTGATATCAATTTTTATTCGCAACTGTCGAGTGTCGAGTGCAAGATGAATTACATCTTTTGAATTTAAATCCAAATTTATACAAATTCAATATCTTCCTACATCTGAAAATAACCTGCGTTAAATCAAGTTCAATTAGAACTTTTCAAATTTAAATGTCTTTCCTATCAAACATTTTAAACTTTTAATTTAAAATATTAAATACAAGAAACATGTCTAAAACTTGAATTTTAACAGCAGAAAACATAAACATTTACAATAAAATTAAGATTTAAAGATAAAATAAAATGAAACAAAATAAAGTAAGCACACTTCACAAAAATGAACTGTCTTAAAATTAAGTTTGTTGACAAGGATAAAAAAAGTTTGTTTAAAATGCTAAACATTTACATTAAAGATTCCCATTTTTAAGAAGAAGTTGGCGAGCTTCTGAGAGTTAATGAAAAATTCAAGACAAAAGCTATTTATTTATACAGACCAGCAATAGGATTGGAATTTCCTTCATTAATTTTCCAAGATAAATGGATGGATGATGCTGTTGTTGTGATTACTTCCAGCATTGGAGCTGCCGGAGGATCTGCAAAACAATGAAACCTTAATAGATTCTTATTTTAGTGTTGTTTCCATCATGGGGAATACTTATTTGATTTTTATTGGTTTGGTAAGATTTTTTTATTGAATCAAATATTTAATATAACAAATACTTATAAAGTTAACATAGTTTTATTCTTAGAGCAATATTGTGTATATCTGTTTTCAGAGGCGAATTATCAACAAGTAAATGATCTTTTATTGAAAAAGTTTAGGATTGTTTACATATAAAAATTCATCATTCTTGAACGAACATTGAAATAGAGGTTTTTGATGTTTAAACACTATTTATAAAATAAAAATAATTGAAAAAAGGAAATAAAGTGAAAAATATTAAAATTTAATTGAATACTATTATATATTAATATATATAATACTATTATACACTATTATATCCAGTGATTAATATATAATACTATTATATATTAATCACTGAATATTTAATATTTTATATTTAATACTTTATATAATAGTAAAATTAAAACTTCGGCTTAATTAGATATACCGTTCTCTTAACTGGAATATTAATTCTTTTAAGTGCGTCAAAGCTCTTTTTTCTCAATAAAATAAAAAAATAAAAAAAAAAATAAGAAAAGCGTTTTTTTTAATCAACAAAAAGCGTTTTATTGCCAACATTTATAGCATTGCACGTTATTTGTACTTATTTCAGGCATTTATTTCATTTTTCCATTTGCTTAATGTTTAAAACTACTGAGTCATTATTATTTTATTTTCTGTGCTAATACGTCTTATTTAAAAAATAACAGAATTTGCCAATTTTTGCACTTAAGGACTTCATATTTATAACAGTAAAAAATATCAATTATAGCTTTGTAAAGACTTATAGATTACTTTTAGGGGAGATTTAAACCAAGGAAGGATTTTAAAGAAATGCATGTTAAAATAAAGTGTTTATTTTAGCGTGCATTAAGTGCAAGGATATTAAATATAGCAGATCACAGAAATATTAATAGCAACATAGTGTGGACTATCTTATGACAAATTACAATTTAATTACTTTTCCTCGAAACTTTATGTTCAAAAACAAATTTTCCAATCAAATTTTTTCTCACAAAGGTTGCATCTGTTATCAGTCAAAAGAAATGAATTTCTTTTTTAAATAAAATATAGTTTTCATAGATCCAAGAAAGTTTCAAAAGAATTTGAATCTACGCGTCGTATATTGAAAACTTACAGTAAATATTAATTATCTCTTCATTGAAAAAAAGCTCTTCAATGGAACCAATACTTTACTTTATGTTGTGTTTTTTATCAGTATAAATATGAGTTTCTAAGCATATTTATTGTAATTTATCTATACATGATCTATACAGAGACATTGCAGAGAAATATTTATGATAACGAAAGGGAGAATTTTGCAATTTTGAATTTAAAACTATAAATTATTTTAATATATTTATAGATTTTATAACGTTTAGTAGGTATAATTTTTTCCAACAACGGTAGTTTTTTTTTAAAATTCCAATTCAAAAGTAAAATATGTAATTGCAAAGCGTTGCTTGGATCAAAATTATTGTCTGATTATTAACTTTAAAGAAACAGATTTTTATCCTTGTTTTAAAAGAATATTTATCAAAATTTTATAAGGAAACTATTTACTTAAATATTCAGCATAATTTTGATATTATTTTAAAAAAAGCATCCAACAAAAAATAGGGAACTCTTTGTGCCACGTAGACTAAAGCGAAACACAACGTAAAAGAAAGTACGTAAGAACATAGGTCTGAGTTTTCTTCTGCTAAAATAAATCAGCACTGTTCTTTATCTTCCGAACTTGATTTTTGGGAGTCACTCTACATTTTGAAACATTCTAATAATAAAGATCTTTCCAGTGTCCCACCTTTTCCCAATATTTTTAAGCCTATTTTCATCAAGTCTGTTGAATTTTGAGGTTCCCGCCAAATCCTATCACACTTATTTCGTATTTCCTTTTTTATTTTCTTGTTCAAACGTGTTTCTCAGTCCCTATTGATTTAATTATTTTGCACTTGATTGTTTTTTTTATCTCTACCACCATTTGTTGTTTAGACACTGAAGAAGGTTTTTGTATTAGTTGTTGTATAGAACTGAAACTATAGTATATCCATTTGTGTATCTTCATTTATGGTTTATTCACGTTGTCTTTTTTACTTTAGTCTTTATTAAGAAGATCTTACAAATAAATTATCGTATTTTGCTCATAATAAGCATTTATTGGTTTCATATTTCTTTTAAAACTACTAGAAACGCATAAATTTTTACAATCGTATTTAATTTTTTCTAACGTAGTGATGAGTTTATTGGTAAATTGGAGATAATTTTTTAATAAATTGACTAATATTTATGGAGAATCAATTTACCTAATTTTTGCAATATTTTATTTTACATCGTGAACTTACTTTTCTTTACAAATGAGCAGTTTTTCCTAGAGAGTTAGAATATGCAACAGTAAATTTAAGGGATGTAAATATTCTCAAATGAATCATGAGAAAGCATAAATAGAGGTTGGTAATAATTAAAGATACTCTGTTTAAGCTAGTTATTATTAATATAAATAATCAATAATAATTTATCTATCAATATCAATTAATTCTATGTTGGTCGGCGGCTATTTATGAAATTCTCTATATGCGTTTTATGGACCATAGGTAAAAGAAATGTGCATAGGAGAAGAGAAAATGAGTATAAATATTAAAAAATTCAAGTGAAAGAATTAAAAATTAATTCTGTTAAAGCCTATGCTCATGTGCATTCCATTTATCTTTTATCAAACACATGGTAAAAACATGTACGAGCTTAACACAAACTTGCTTTTAACATAGATTTATTTGAACATCACTTCCATGATTTTTTTATTTTATTTATTATTATCATTTTTTACAACGCACTTTAATCTCTTTAAAAAATACTAATACTTCTTATCAGTTCTCTTTACTGTAATAGCATTCTGCTGAATAAATGTACGGTTGTAAATATCGGCTTCTTTTACCGCTCTAACTAACATTAACTTCTTTCCTCTTACATGAATAGTGCTTATTTTAACTTTTGTTCGTTCATTTTTTAACTAAATTGTGGTTAATAAGAATAAACATATTTCGCTTTTTATTCTAAGATATAAGCATGCATTTTTTTATAAAATGTACACAATGTCGTTTTTTTAAACTCATAGTAAAACATGTGAAACGAGGGGAAAAAAAGAAAACAAATAATAAAAAAATAACAAACAACTGGGGAAAAAAAAGATAAAATTTTTTAAAAAATCCGGAAAATTAAAGATATAATCTTTTCATCAGCCCACACGATTTTATCTTCAAAAAAGAGTGCTTTCTGATATTGTATCAATATAGCCAAAGCAAAATATATTAATACAATAATAGTGAGGAGCCCTCAAAAAAAATTTATTTTGTTTTTTGTTTTGTATTTACTTATTTTGTTATATATATATATATATAAATATATATGTATAAATNTAGGCGTTGAATCTATATATATATATATATAGATTTATAGATTTAGAGTATGATACCTTAAAATGGTTATTAATTCAGCAAACATTTAAATATTTTATAATAATAAAATGTTTTTAATAATAAAATATTTCCATTGCTAAAACTGTTTTATTATTATATATTAAATATATAGTAATAAAATATTTATTAATAAAAATGAAATATTTTTAACCTGATACTTCTTTTGATGAATGTATACCCTATGGAGAAGATAAAGAGAAAGCGATTCCACCCTCTCTACTTTTTCGCAGTAATTAATATAAGCCATAAAATGTAAAAGAAAAAAAAATAGATGGGGAAAGTCCTTGCAATATGAATGACCTAAGATTTTGTACAGTACTTCAATTGCTTGAAACCTGTTTTTGTGACGAATATTGGGCTTTATGCTACTACAAAAACATTATAAGAAAATGAATAATTTTTCTCACCAAAGGTGAAAAGCCTAATTTAAATTAATTGAAACTTTAATAATTTATCTTATCAACATTCCCTTATGAATTTAATCATAATTAATTAATTTAACAAGGGATTTATTATATAACGTTATTGTTGCATATTTTTATGTGTACATTTTATAGAAAAAGCTTTTAAAATGGTTTTTTCATCTTTTTTATTAAGATAAAGGACATGAATAATTTTGCACAAAATTAGATCATTAAAAGCATGATTAGTCAGAAAGTCATTAAACTTAAAACACTCAAGTGATAGGTCTTTTATCAAATGTGTGGTTCGGAAAAAAAGGACATCATTTTTCAAGTAGTCTAATGAAAGAACATATTAATCTGTCAAAATGAACAAGTTTAATTTTATGCTTATATTCATAGGAGGTTTGCTTCGATATTTTATTTTAATATGACATGTGACGTGTGGCGATGCATAAAATAAAAACAATAACACACATCAAAAAAGAAATTTATTTTAAATCAAGAATATGTCCCAGCCATTATAGTGTGTTTCCTGTTAGATTGGATTCCTGAATAGGAGAAAAAAATATCCAACAAACTCAGACAGTGATATCTGAGTTTAGTTTTCTTGAGAAAGAGATAAAAAGAAAAAGCTTCTTTTTTACATATCCTGCCACTCTCCTGTCAAGCTATCCGGTTTTCTTTTGTCCATTTTTGTTTGTCTTAGACAATTTCAGAATTTTGTGAGCGAAAAAGAGAGTAGCATAATTACATGCGTGCGAAGTTGCATTTCGCTTTTGTGACGTTTTTTGATGATGAATTGTGCTGGCATAAAAGACAGAATGATCAAATTCGCTTAACTGCTTGTCATAAAATCTAATCTAGAAAGGGACTGTAAAATATGTCTGTACTTTAGACTCTAGATTTACGGTATTTAGAAAAGAGAGTATTTCTATGTGGGTATGTAATGAGTCCTTGTTTTTACTTAAACATAAACCTAATTATTAGGAGCGCATATTTATTTAATGTTTCATAATTCTTTTTTCTTCAATTATTTTCCACTTAAAAAGGAA